CACTGTAGCCATGAGAGAAGACTTGGCAAGGCCTTATTTACCCTTTCTCCAAATGAGTTAAACTTTTCAACCTTTAAGGCCACATTCCAAAAGCCGTTTGCTTTCCTAGATCAAGTGCCATTCTGGAAATTGTACAGATACAGTATTTTTACCTGATGTGAAGGTAAAAATAGAAGTGAGGCTTGTAGTTGGGTGAACAAGTTTAGTTGCACTTGTTATTTTTCACAATTAACACATAGGAGCATGTTTAAGTGTAGCCAAGGAGAGGCTGTCCTAACCATGGACTGAGGATGTGCTGGATCAGATGGCAATCAAAAGCCCATGGCCTTAGGGAGTTACAAATTACTTGCAGAATGTCTCACAGACATCTTCTCCCATGGAGAAATGTTGCAATCTTCAGTTTTATTGGCTTCTTTAAGCCTCAGACTCTAAAACTGGATGTTAGCCTTGCCCCATAGCTCTGAAATAACAAGTCCTGAGGCACCATGCAGGTGTTGCGTCTTTACCCCTTCTAGCACAAACGCTCATCTTGTTTGCACACCTCCTTTCTCAAGTCTTTCTGTCTGATAAATTCAGGTTTGAGGGATGGAATAATTCTAATGAGGCATTTTACCACCCCAAACAGGGTTGTTCCTTGCCATGCCCTGCAGAGCCTGGCTCTCCAGTCCCACACTGCCTGCCTCACCCCTTCCTGCAGGGATCATGCAGCAGTCTCAGGCACTCTCAGCTTCACAGCAAAAATATAAATAAAGTACTGTGCCAAAACACTATTCCCCTTATTGCCACCCCTTTTCTCTCTGTTTTGTTTCCTGTCAAGTGTTTTGCTCTGACACACCAAGTAAAGACACAAAACTTGAGGTGGGAACGTCTGGCCCTGGCTGTAGAGCGTTTTCAAGAAGAGAAGTTCCTAGACATAAAATCAGCTTTTTCTTCCTTCTTCATGGGACCTTGCTGTGGGATGTTTAGGGGTTCCTGCCGCAGCCCCCAGGGTGGCCAGCAGCCCCCAGCTGGGACTTCACTCTCTCCAACACAATTACAGTCTGCAGAAGTTTAAAGGCAGTTTCTTTTGAGTGAGCCACATGCTTCAAATTGTTATGTGGTTAACCACTGAGAACAAACCCCCACACAAATACCTAAGGATCAACTTGCTCAAGCCAGGGTGGTAGCAGTGGCGGCACAAGAGGAGAGGGGAGACTTCCTCAATTTGCTTTTGATGAGAAGAAAATAGAGTTATCTTCTGACTTTCCTAAAGTGCCAGCAGCCGCCGTGTCACGGTGAGTGCTGGGTGATGCTGTTTGCACATTTGTTTGCTGATGAAAGGAGACTTGTTCAGCAGCCGTGGTCATACACACCATGGGCCACATCCTCTGCTGGTGTAAATCAGCTCCTCTGGTGAATAGGAATTGAAAATGCAACCCCCTCTCCCTGTGTTATGTACAAGTGCCAAGCTGGGGGAAGATTTCTGTGCTTTGACATTGCTCTATCCCTTGTCCTTTAACTTTTATAAAAGCTGAATACTTTTCTGCTGACTCACAGAGACAGATGGATTTTGTTAACTCCAGTCAAGATAGATGCACTAAAAGCATCACTTGGTGGGGCTGAACCCAGCTTTGGAGTTCAGGGGGGACTGAGCAAGGAGCTTCACATCTCACCCTGTTCAGCATGGATGGAGCTTGGCTCCTGGGTGTCACATGGGAGGAGTGACGTGTGGTCTAGGCTGAGCCTGCTGCTAATCAGTGTTTGAAATAATGACCCAGGCTGTCATTCCATCCCCCCCTCCTTGTGCCCTCTCTGGAGCTCTGCAGCTCCCCAAAGCCCAAGAAAGAGAATTGGAGCCAACAGCAATAGAAAGGAAACACCCCAAAAGAAGCAAAGAACTCAAATCCCCTTAGTAATTGCATTGCATCTGCTTAAATCCTCTTAAGTTACAGAGGATTTTAGTGAAGTAAATTAACTTCCCTTTGCTTGTGTTTCCTTTTATTTTTGAAGATTATGAAACTGTTGAGGAGCAAATTGTCTTACAAACTCATGGAGAGAGTTTCCAGTCATGACTGATATTGCTGTTCATATAGTGTTCCTAAAAGTAGACCCAAGTGGAGATAGAGATAATTATTTTGCCATGGACCGACTTTAAGATCCATTTTAACTCTATTTTCATTTCTAAAATGGCTGATTAAGGGCTCACAGCATGGCTAAGATAATCAAGGGGATAGATGCAACCCAAGCATGATATGCTTTCTCAGGTATGAAACAAAATTGAATTCTTTGCTTTTTGAAGAAAACTGTGTGAAAAGGAAGGGTTAATTTTTTTTATGTGGGGAACATTTTCAGTGAAAGTGGTTTAGTTTCTCTGGTCCATTTGTCATCTGAGCAGTGAAACATCACTCTGCTTATGAAGTTAGCTCTGCAGGACTCTGTACCTGTCAAAATTGTTTATCCATACTTGCCAACTACAGCAAGAAAGGCAGGAGGACTGGCAGTTGTGATGGTGAGTAAGTTGGACACATGGAGTGAGGGTGCATGGGTTGAACCTCCTCACTGATGCAGAAAAAGAAAATGAGTGAGGGAAAGAACATTAAAACATTAAGTATCTAATCTTAGAGAGTTTAATGGTGCAGTTTGTTACAAAAAAAAAGAATTTGCAGAATTTCTTCATGGGCAACTGAGTAGGTCCTGGTGGCCAGTTTGTCCTCATGATGCTTAATGTTCAGGAGTAAATGCCAGCAGAAGCAGCTGCTGGGGTACACTGGCACATTGACATTATTGACCATGGGATTGGGAATATTGCACTTCCGCAATTGAAAATTATTAAGTGATAATCGCTTATTAAGGAATTATCAAGGAACTACTGAAACTACTGAGTGCTTAGTATTGTTATATGAAAATATATTAAAAATTCTCAGTCTAAATCCAACAGAGTATTAATCCTATGTGAGGGCCATTAGGGAAAAAAAAAAAAAAAAGAGAGGGGGACGGGCAGAGAATTCAGGTTTATAAAAAGAAACCGGTACACAATGAGCTGAAGGTTGTGCTTCTGTACTTCCTGCTCTGGGTGTGAGCAGAAGAGGAAATACCAAAATACCACCAGAAAAGCTATTCCCACAGCATTCCCAACCTGGCTGAAACCAGAGAAGTTCTGACAGCCCTACAAAAAGGGGGCAAAAATCCCGCAGCCGACTGAGTCTCAAGGATCTGGCTCATAGGAAGGCCAACAAAATTTCCAAATCTAGAAGATTTGGGTAGACCTAGATGAGTCTTTATACCTTCCCTGACTCCTCATCTGTATTTTCTGCAGTTCACAGATCATTGATGACATTTGACTCTTCTGCCAGCTTTGAAAGGAGCACATTTCTGCTGCAGTCAGTTTGATCACATCCATGACCACAGACCATCAAATTGCACGGTAACTGCAGGGCAAGGCACCATGGTCCAGTCTAACTCAGGTGAGGGGTTCCTTGGACCCCTTCCAGAATGAGAGTACATCCTACATACACAGCAAGAACTGACTTTTCAATGCATAAAATGTCTCCAGTTTCAGTGTTGCTCCATGTCCATAATTAAAACTAAATTCCTGGAGGTTCCCAGGCAGACAAGACATTAGTTTGGTCTGGCTCCTCTGGCTCCTCTGGCTCCTCCTGCTTTTAGCAAAGAAAACCTTGAAGATGAGCAGCGGGATCATGTTCAAAGGGTTGTACAGATAGCTGGCACAACAGGCAGTTAGCTTAAAACCTCAAATCTGAAAGCTTTGCAAAGAACTGGGAAAATGTCTCTTTTCCTTTATTGGTATAAGAAGGAAAGTATTCTGTCCTACTAAATCCCCCCAAAATTTAAATGTCTGTCTCTTGTTTCATGCAGTGCTGTACACTAGAATTCAGGACTTGTTCAATAGTCTAAGAAAAACAGTAAAACTACTATTAAAGAGTAAAATTTCTATAAAAAGCTGATTTTACTATATATGTTTCCTTACATCTAAGAAAATCCTGAAACAAGTTTTTCCCCTACTATTAGAGAATCAAATCCCTGGACTGGCTCCAGTGAGCAGCTTAGGAATGTTCAGCACAACCACGGCCTCCAGCCATGGTACAGAGCAAAAGTTGCAACACTGATGATGCTTTATCTTCCACAACTTACTCCAGCAACACTTCCATGGATGCCAATAACGAAATCTGTTTCAGAGGCCTGAAAGGAAGATTTTTTCTTTTCAAATTCTGAGTCACCGATTTTGAGACTGTCAACTGATTGCTTTTGTGACTGTGGTTTAGCTAAAACCACCTAAGGCTGATAATGTCATCATGAACTCTAACATCCAAAAATGAAGCTAAAACCTCAGCTAAGCCCCATGTCTGAACGCAGCTTTCCAGTTCATTCAGAGCAGCACAGCACTCAGCATTTTCCCTCCAACAACAGAAAGCCCCTTTCTGGCCTCCCGGAACTGCTGCATGGAATACACTGTTTCTCTTACTGCAAACTTATTTAAGAGACAATAGGGCAAATAGTTGGCACACGGATTCTTCTTAAAACTTAAATCTAGATTCACAATAAAATGTAAAATGCCAAGGAAACATGCAAAGATAATAAGAAAATGCTAAGTTTCTTTTTTTTTTTTAGTTAATTTTTGCTGAGAGTGAGACATTACAATTTACAATATAGGCCCCATTCTGCAAGTCCTTTTTTACATGAGCTCTTTTTAAAGTCACTGAGGTTTTTTATGTGAGTAAAAGTGTCTTACATGAGAAAGGACTCACATAATCTGGCCTTACACATTTTGCTACAAAGTTTACCTAGACATTATCTGGGCTGTGGAGCAGTGTGCATATTTTCAGGATCGAAAAATGGACTTCAGTTGCTTTTTTTTTTGGAAAAAGTTCTGGCTTCAGCTTCACCCATCTGCTTTTCGCAGTTTGCTCCGCAGCCGCATTGAGTGGACGGGCTCAGCCTTTGTCCCTGTCTCTGAGCTGCCCCTTGCCAGCCACGCTCAGCCCCCACGCGCTGTAACTCACCAGGACGTGTGCAGTCTGAATTCCCATTCCAGATTTGGTCCTCAAGCCTAAGGCCATTATTCCATCTCAGATTAAAAGATATTCTCCCATGGGCAGCTGAAAAAGAGCATGTTTCTTCAGGTTTTCTTGCCACAAAATGATAAAATGAAATAAAATAATAAAAATAATAAAAAGGAAATCCAATGTACGGCAATCCTCAGAGTTGTGGAGTCTAAGGGTGTTGATCAGCATCCATAAATGTCCTGACTGGTGAGGAGACACAGGCACTACAACTGGAAAGAGAGCAGGAAGGAAAACCTACCATGTGAGCAAAGTTAAAAAAAAAAGGGGGGGGTGGGGGTGGGGTGGGGGGAAGCGAGAGAGAGAAAAAGGTCTGCTCAGTGGACAGCACTTGGGCTGATAGCAGGGATTTCAGGAAATCCAAACACTCAGACAGGAAATCTGAACACTGGATAAACATGCCATAATCTCCACAGATACAGTTAACATGCAGCGTCCCTGTTAACCCCTTGCCTGCCCATGGCTGAGCCTGAAATCAGATCTGCGATTTGAGGCGCCTGGAAACACGAGCTGCCCGCGGGGCTCCGCAGCCTGAGCGCTCCCAAGTCTGAGCAGCAGCCCTGCATTCAGCCCTGCCCTTGCCTTTTTTAACTCCACTGATTTCTACATAGTGCTGCTTTATTGGAAAGGTGCATAATTTTCCTCCCCTGAGAAGGAGATGCACCCTGAGCCCTGCAGCAACCTGCCTGAAATCCTATGTTTCACTGACTGTGGATACTTGGTAGTCCTGAGATAGTTTAGCCTGTTCTTTTTCCACTTCTCCTTTGCTGTAACACAAGATTTGTATGGCTGTGTGGGGGATATTTCCCATACATTGTGGGATATTTGATGGTTTATTCCAGGCTGGTTCAGTGGGGGACCCCCTGCTTCCTCCCCTGGAAATTGTAGGGACAGGCTATTTAAATCAACAGGGGAGTTTGGAGACTCCCTTTATGCCATTTTGTCAAGGAATCTAGTTCCATGGCAGAGGGACTGGAATTAGATGACCTCTAAGGACCCTTCCAACCCAAACTGTCCTATGATTCTATGAATTCTGGAACAAACTCTGGAGTCCCTAGCAAAATTAAATGACGCCTGTTTCATTGGTTATTTTCAGAATATACATTTTGCTCTTTGTGTCTTGTGGTTCACTTGTCATCAAAAAAATATCACTTCTAGACTTTATTTATTTATTTTATATTCTACCTTGGTTACACTATTAATGTAAAGCTCTTAGCTAGTTACAAAGGCAAGGAGAAACAATCATATTGCATAGAGCTGACCCCTTGCCCCCATAGATGTAATTAACAAAATTAAGTTTGCATAAGAGTTGCCAAATTTAAATTCATACTATTACAAGCACACACACACACACACACACACACACACACACACACACACATACACACACACACAATTAAGACTCTGCATGTTTGCAGAATGGGGACTTCACTGTGTTTTCTGGAGGAGGGCAATTCCAGGCTTCTCTGCTTTCCAGAGGTTATGGACTCCCACTTCCAAACATGCTTCCTCTCTCTGAAAATTGACTTTTTGGGACAGTCCTGCCTAAAGCATGTTAGAAAAAAACCATAATGTCTTTAGATTTTCTGATTCTCCTAAGACTTCATAGAAATTTTAAAAAAAGGATAAAAATTAGTACCTTGAATTTCACTTGCTGGTGGAAGTAATTAGACACAGAGGTAATATCCACTGACTGGTGCCCCTGCTTAAGGCATTGGCAATTATTTCATCTGAAATGGCCCTAATGTGAGTCCCACATGCCATATTAACCTGTATCATTACATGAAGTTTCCTGCTAGGAAAACAGGAGTGCTATAGGAAAATGCTTCCTTCAGCACCTTCTACTACTTGCAATGTGTTTCTGCTTATTAATTCAAAGACAGAAGCCCTGACAAGCCAGCATTGGTTACAGCATTCCTTGGAGGTGGCCAAGCTTGGACATCATGCCTGGACTATGGAGTTTGGTTGTGTTAGCTGCAGGGAGCCTGGCAGCAGAACTGGGGTGGAAAATGGGGCTTTGGGGGCATCCCTTCATCAGAACTCTCATCTTTTCTCCAGCCTAATTCTGGCTCAAAATATATCTTTCAAGTTGGGTCCTCATTTTCCCAGTCATTCTCCTACTACATTTTGGAAAGCATGAGCCTGGTGATGGGGGTCAGTCCCTGTGATCATGGTTGGAGCACTGGTGGCTGCATCTGTGCAAAGACCTGGTAGAACAAATACTTGACTTTAGAGGCATGAAGTCATCTGCCTTGCCTAGCACGTGCTGCATGAAACAAGGACCAAATGGTCCTTGTTGCTTGATGATGTCAGGAAGGAATTGGTGGAAAACCAGGGAAAAATTAAAACATGTCGGGGTTGAACTTTTTCCCTTTTTTTTCTTGTTCCATGTGCTTTGCCAATGAGCTATTTCAGTTATTCACTTTTTTTTCCATAGAAGTCCTTCTGTTTTCATAGTATTTTTCACCTTCTCTTTTCTTGTATTTTCCCCTCAGTGCCACACTTTTCAGTAGAAAAAGGAAAGCAAAAAATAGAGAAAAGGGATAAAGTGCAGCCTTTTCAGTATAACTAGACAGAAATGAAAAAAAAAAAATAGAGAAAATAGGCATAAAACTTCAAAATATGCAGTCTGACAAAAAAAAAAAGCCTTTTAAGATTGAGAGACTTTTCATTTGAAAACATTCAAGCAGCTCTAGAAAAAAAAAGGATCTGGGGGAAGTGGGATATAATTTATTACCACTAACATCTGCTGTAAATCAGTTAGGTGTAGGCAAACATTCCCTACCAGGGCAGAGTTAGGTCAAGGTGAGAGGGGATAAAGCAATAATTAAAAAGACTAGTGTCCTCCAGCTACCTTCAGTAGGCTGTAAGGAGAAGAGCAAGTGCTTTCTGCAAAACTGGGATTCCGTCTAGAAAAATTTCAAAGGAGTGGGGTGGAATAATTTATATTTAATGGAAAACTATAAGTTTATAACAACAATTTCCAGAAAGAATCCCCAAAAAATTATACTTTCCTGTTTTTCCAGTTAAAAAAGTAAGTACAAAAAAGGGTTGTGCTTATTGTGAAAAGTTTAATTTTATTGACATTTGTGTTGAAAAACTCTACAAAAAGATGTTATTGCCCATCTTGGGAAAAAGGGACAACAGAGATAGAATGGTAGGCAAAATAATGAAGCTGATAATAATAAACTTTACAGAAAAATTCCAGAAGAAATGGGGTAGAAAGAAATTTTCAAACCCAAGCAAGCAGAGTTATCAAAGCTAAAGTGTGGAAAAAGATTCCTGGAAGGATACGGCAGCTGCAAAAATCCCCCATCACCTTAGGAAAAAAAAAAAAGGCCTTACTCAGTACAGATGTGAAGATGCTTGCTTTAAAATTGGGAAAAACCCTCAACCACATCCACCCTTGATGTGCCCTCAGCAGCTGAGCTTTCTGGTCACTTGCTCTCTATATCCTCAGGATGAAGCTTTGTGTAGTCCTAGAGCTGATAACAAAATTGTCACTTCTTCCATAAAGACTTCTATGGCTACTGAATTAAGACAAGTCTGTTCATTAAATATTAAAAGAGCTTAGATATGCATGTGAAAGATAAAGCACATGAAATAATTATAGAGATCATGAACAAAATGCTCAAGAAAATTATTAGCAACATATGAGGCCCCAAGCTCTCTTACTTTTCATGTTTCACTTACAAGCCCTATATGATAATAGTTAGGATTTTTTTTTTTTTTCATTATAGATTGGAAAGAAAGATCAGCTCTTTACCATCCTACTTACTGGATTTGGAGAAGATTTGAACAGAATAAATAAAATGTTTGGAGAAAGAAATTGCAGGTCCCAGTTTTGTCATTCTCCACCCTTCAGTCACCTGGAGGCTTTACAGCCTAGAAAAAAATGACTTAATATATTGACATGAAACTAATGTACTTTCCCTTTAGAGCATGGCCAGCCCTGTGTCTCAGCCATCCCAGACCTTTCTCTCTAGCTACCAGAAACTGGATGCCAGAGAAATACTGTGGCACGTTAAACCACGTTCCCTAATCACACTGTGACTCTATCTGGATTTTCTACAGCATATAATAAAACTTTGCAAGCATTAGAGAAAATCAGTAGAAAATACTGTCCAAAGGGATTTCATAAACACTGACACAATTTACCATAAGCTATAAACACTATTTTTCTTGAAAACTTCAGTAATTAACTTTAGAGACCTCTTGCTGCACTACAAAACATATCTCTTTGTGCACTGGCTTTCAATTTTAACATTTCCTTGGAGATCCCTACCACTTTTATTACTAGTCCTGCTCCTTCCTAAATGAGCAGCCAAGGAGGTTCACTTTTGAGATGAGCATCCCTGCTGGCAGTGTTGCAATAGGAAAAGCACCAAGCCCCCTCCATCCAGCAAACCATGTGCTCTTGCATTACACAAGAAACATTGTCACTTTCCCCACTTTTCATTCAGTGAAATACAGCAGAAGCTGTGTTCTAACAGGTTTAACAACATGTTTATACATTTATTAAGCAAATAGCACCCCTTGACGTTATGAAAAGGTCCAGGCATTAGAAACTGCCTTGACAAGAAGCACTTGACCCTAGTGGTACCTAAAGGCTGCACTAATGCTCAGGAGGCATGTTTCATTTTCAATTGATTTTAGTTTTCTTTCTTGAAATGAGGAAAAATCCCAAACCCTGAAGCATCTCCTTTTTTGCCTCTCCTTCATTGTTCCTTGTTACAATGGCAAAAATGGGGAGTATTTTCACAGTTTCCCCCCCACCCCTATTTTCCTTCCAATTTGGCATGTGAAGGGACGAAACCAAAGACATGTATAAACAATTGTTTTACTGGCTCTGCTCAAAAAATGCTGTATGGTAAAGGATACTAAAGAAAGCAGATGTCACATAGAGAGCTCCTCATAGTGTCAAAGTAGCTGTTAGATTCATCTTTTCCCAAAGATATATGGACAGTCTAGACAATATTGAGTGACAACTAGAAGTTGAATTATGCACCACAGACCCAAGTTGCAATAAAAATGTT